TTCTGGCTGAGGCAGCACAGAGACAGCAGGCATCATTATGATAATGCTCCTCTGTGACAGCAAAGATTGACATCGATACGAGGCCATCGCGCTGCGTAGCATACATTCGGGGAGCTAGTCCCAACTAATGACAGGAGCCCGCATAATTGCGTGGCGCTGCCGGAAAAAAAGGCTAACAAATATGGGTCAACTGCCGGACAAAAGGATATACAGAGTCGCATACAGCTTCCTCGGCAGCTTCTGGAAGTTTTTCCTTGGAGCGAGCAACGAGGCTCTGGGGCTGACAAATTGTATGCAATTTATATATACAAGCGTGACTGACATGCAAATTGTGATAAATTAGAGGGAAAACAGTGGCCCAGCATCGGGGGTGGTTTCAGCCCTTTTATTTTCTGGGAACACCCCCGGCCTGAGCCAACTATGATAAGCAAACTTTCCGCCTGACATCGAGCGAGTGCGCTGGCGATAAAGCAAACTTGACTGATTTTGCTGCTGCTTTGGCTGCTTTCACTCGTCTGGCAATTTGATAAAGTTATTACTCGGATCGGAGGGGATGGGGGATGGGGGGGTGGGATAGTCAGTCGGTCAGCTTAATTAAGCCAATGAATTATATGCTCCACGCCGCATTCGATGCAGCCGCCTCCTACTTATGCATTCATTTTGAACTCTAATGAAGCGTAATTGATGCAGTTTCTGCATTATAAACATGTGATATCCCCTGATGAGTCCAGCTTTAATCAAATGAAATGCGGCGACGGCTTTTGCTTTTGCCTCTGCTGTTTGCCAATTAAGCTGCCATCAGATGCCCCGGGTCGGCTATCAAGTGCGAAGAGTGCCATGCAAATCCCTAGGTATAAGCTGCTTAAATACTAGGATATCTAGAATACTTGTGCTCGTTTAATTTCAAGTAATTAAATATAAAATAATGGTATTGATGATGCAGACTATCAATGTCACTGCTGCCCAATGACAATTGAATTCCGAAACCAAACACTTCAGGGAATCTCGCCAGCTTTAAGCATGAAATAATTATTCTTAATGAAATTCGAAAGGAATTATTTATGCTTGCTGTTTATCCATTCGATTATCGAATTCACATTTATTATAAATAATTAAACATTATTGTTAGTCACGACAGCCATTTTATCTAATCAATTTGTGGTAGAAAAGCCTATAAATGTGACTAGTAATTAATTATGAATATCCATTATTATGTCAATTGTTGACTTATGTGCTTGATTAGGGAGATTATCTTGTCAGTGATTTTGGTTCAATTCGAGTTAATTCCTTTAACAACCGATCATAGCTTATAGCTTAAATTAAATATAAATCCTCTTTTAACTATATATTTGTAGTAGTTTTTTTACTTAAAGCAAATTAGGCTACATCCAATTAAAAACAAGTAGCTGGGCTCCATTGTTTTCCCCCGCCGAGAGAGGGAGAATGCAGTCTCATTCACTTAAGTTTACAGCTCGAGTAGCTCGCAGCCTGATTCGCCCCGCCCCATTGGGCAATACGCCCGCCCCCTAGGAATTGATAAGTCTAATTAATGCAATTGAAACAAATTCCAGCATGCAAATGAATGGGCACACACCGAGTGCTCTGGCTTTGGGGCATCCGATGGATGGATGCTTGGACATGCCTCATTAGCCAGAGTGCCATAAACTTTGGCTCGTCTTATTGAATTAGTTCTAATGAGGTCCCACTTCCCCCATTTCCCCAAATCTCTGACTCACCCAGAGTCCCTGCGAGGTGTGAATTCCCCAAAAGCTGGAGAAGAGGATGCTTCATCCTTGCCTTCCTTCCCCCTAGTTGCTAGTTAATTTAGCAAAAACTAAAACATCGTTCCTGCCTGCCGCACAGGGCTGTCAATCAATCAATTTGGGCAGTCAACCGTGGACAGGGCTGCCACAGCATCGCACGTTATGGTTACGATTGGCAAATTTATGGAGCTTGGCTCACTTAAATTCCTCGGCTGCATCCTAATTGCTACAGAACTGTTGTGAATTCAACTATTTTTTGGCAGTAAACACTTCAAAGGGAACCTTTAGTGGCATATAAAATATATGGCATTTTATTTAATCAAATCGAGGTACGATTGGATTGGTCTTTTGGCCCAAGGCACTTGAATAAATATGACCTGGGATTACAAATATTTGTTGAGCGGCTTTAAATACATTTTTCATAGCCTTGTTACTTGGCAAAAAGCAAAATAATTGCCCTAAATATTGAAGCATGTAAAGGAATCTCCTGCACTGGCTGCCGGGCATCGCAGATAGATGGCTTTCGGCAGCGCAGTAAATATTTAAAAGGTATCTGCTGCTCGCACAGCAATCATATTTCATTCTCCTTATTGGACGAAGAGTCCAATCTCCCATCCACCTGTTGGCTTTCCAGTTGATCAAATCAGAAATACAATTATCAACAAGCCCAAATCAATACCTAATATTTCGGCGGAGGAGCCGGGGCCCAGACTGGGAACGGGCCATCAATCATGCGATAGACGCCGCATGACATAACCGCTCCAGCTGCGTCTGGACTCCATCTGTATCTGGATTTGTATCTGGCTCTGTAGCTGTGGGCTGCCGCTGAAAACTACCTCGTACGTGTGTGTATATGCATCAATTAAGCTTTTATTCTAACATAACAATTTTGAATGTGGCCGAAACCAGTTTGAGTGCGGTGGCCAAGAGGGCCCGAGCCTACGCAGAAGTATCTTTTGGATAGCTGTGAACGGCTAGCTGGCCAACGGAGGCCAAAACAAACAAACGAAAAATAACTCAAAGCAGTGAACTCCAATTGAGATTGGCAACGTCATCAGAAGCGAACTCCTTGCCATGCAAATCCTACTTCAATGTGTTTTAGCAGCTGTTAAAACACTTCCAAGTGGATGTGTGATTTCTACAATGAATTCCACAAAAGACTGTTGATGTTTTGATGTCTAAGCCCGGCTGGCCACAAATCAGCCACATTAACTGGCACGAGACACATTCAAATGTTAATTAATCAACAGGCCAAACGAGTTTTCCTGCCGGAGTTTGCCGGCTTCGGAATCGGCGATTGACTGAGGTTAGTTCGCCCGAAAGACCACCGCCGCCGGATGAGTTGACAATTCGCGGTGAAGAAGCCAGAAAAAAGTCTCCTTTTCTTTGGCTCCTTAAACCGAATCCAAGCTGATCACTTGGTTTGCTCAAAAAAAATAAAAGAAAGACGGGGAGAAACAGGTTGCGGCTACCGGAGAAGAAGAAGAGTAAGGAGATGCGTTCTGGCCAGGATGATGGCCCATTGCTGAGCCGGAGTGGTTTCGGCCTGGCCGAGACAGCTGCAAAACGAAGCCAAGAGAGTCAGGGCGCTAACAAACTCATTTTGAGCACAGGAAAGAAATGTTTGCTTATCTTCTTAAACAAATTTTTAATTCATGCTAATAAATGTTAATATTAATTTAAATATATCTTCTTTGCTTTCAAGTTGAGTCTCCTGAGTCATAAAGTAACAAAATAGCAAAGCCAGAACCTAGGGATAAGAATAACTCATTGTTACTGATCCTAAAGAGTTACAAAGTGATCTTAATTTTTTTTCTGTGCAAAAGAAGAATGAAAAAAGGTTGGTAACACGCCGAGCCACAGAAAAAAAGTGTTGAGGAAAGAGAGTACACAAGAGAGAGAAGAGAGCAGGAGGAGCAGTAGCAGAAAACCAGTCTTACAACAATTTTTCAGCTACTTGCCACTGGTGGTGGCAGGCTCGAAATGGACTTGACTCTTCCAATTGCAGCGACGACACACCGCATTCCAACTAGAAAATCATAAAACATAAATGTTCCATAAATGTATCTGCGTATCTTCGTATCTTGCGAGTATCCGCGCAACGAGCGCTGTTAATGGCCTCGAAAAATATCTTAATAAATTGGCAATCCGACAAAATCGTCGAGTGAATAATGTATCCAGCAGATAAGTTTGTCTTTGGGCCTGCTGAAATATTTATGCGACAGACAAAGGGCGCAGATTCGCACACACAAACGCCGAGACAACAAACCCACGAGCGGGGACCAGTGTGAATGCAGGAAAACAAAGCACTTGCAGCGCCCAGCACCGAGATACAGATACATTTGTATCTCGTGCAGGCGTTTGATTCCGAATTCGGTTAGGTTTTGGCTCCCGGCTCCCTTTGCTCTCTCTTTCAGCGACTCCTCTCTTTGCGCCCCACGTTTTAATGTGACTTTTATTGTGCTTCCTCCTTTTGTTGTCTCATTTGGTATTCAGTTTTATGTTTGTTTAGCGCTTCGCGTTGTATCTTTTTGTGGCGACTCTGAACTTTAACAGTTGCACTGTGTGTGAATGGCGAGCTTTAGCTTCAGCCTCGTCTTGGGCTTCATTGGCCAACTGTTTTGTTTTGGGCCAGCTGCTAATTGGAGCTGGCTGGCCGGCCAAGAAAGAGACCCACACAGACACTTTGAGCCTAGGCAATTTAATCGGAACTTTATTTTATTGCTGAAGCCGTAGAGTCAAAACTCTGGGGCGAATTAAGAGCACTCTAAGCCCTAAAATGTTTTAACATTCCTAAGAAAGCACAGCTAGTACAAAGTCTATGTTAATTAGGAAAGTTAATACCATTCTAGAACGTCTTTAATATATTTTTTAAGAATATAAACTTATTTATTTTTAAGATTTTATATATTGCATAACAAAAGATTGCTTTAGGTCTAAATATGTTATAAAAACACCTTTCCTTTCCATCTTTCTAGTTATCCCTTAATCCAAAACACATCCTAGATGATGTCCAAGACACCTGTAATAAAAATTATTTGCGATAGGATAAAAGCATCGCTCTATCATCCTAGCATCCTGGCAGAACGACACCTGTCATATGTCGTATATCAGGTGTCATCTGACGCACAATCCCCATTAGAATGCAACCACATGGCGCCCGCAAGGATAAATATAATATATGTATACTCTATATGTATATACGGTTGGGTCCTGGCCGTGACGGCGTGAACTTACAGGCCTTTGTTTCGCCGTGTTTTTGCGTTTCCACGCGTCGCTGGCCAATAATCCGCTTTAGCTGCACGGCTGCATTGTTAAATATTTATAATATGGCATTTAAATTCGCACATCCGTGTGTTTTCCTTTTGCACCTTGTATTTGTATTATTAGCACAAACTATGTGTGTAAGCTCGGGTATTATAATCACTCGCCAGTTGCTGGCCTCACTGTTGCACTATGACTTTAATTACTCGGATGAATCGGTGCTCGGCAGGCGGGGGAGTGAACTCCATGCAATACAAGTAAGTTGACTGTAAATTTTCGCGGAAAAGCCAACGCACTTTTCGGAAAACAGATACGGAGAGGGCAAGACCGCCGCGCGAAAAAAAGGAAGAGAGCTAAGCGCGCTGGCGAAAAAAACCGGTAATTTCGTCCGTCGATGTTGTGTTACTCTAACTTTACAATTGTGTTTGCCTTTGCCGCTGGCTTTGGCTTTGCTTTTGCCTTTGGTTTTGGTTTGCTTTTGCCTCTGACTTTGCGGAGTGGCGCACGCGTAGCCGAGCGGAGGATTGTCGTAGTTCGTGGCCAGGCGCTCGAACGCGTCCAATCGGTCTGGAGTCACGGCGTTAACTGGCCAAACCAGAAACTGAAAGCCGTGTCTGAAGCTGAATGGGAAGCCGAGCAGAGCCGAGCCGTTGCACAGTGGGGTCTCTAACGGGTATTCATTGTAAAATTCTTCATTTATTAATACATTAATTTCGTCTGTCCGCCTGTCCGTTCTAAAGCAAACTCTCCAAGTGAGTACGCTTGTTTCTTATTATTTATAAATATATCTAAAAATGTTCATTAAATAAAAACAGTTTTTGTTCCTTATAAAACTAAAAGACCTTAAATTGGTATAAACACATGAAGAGTTCTGATAAAATGTATTATTTATTTAATAATAAAAAAAAATATATTAAACATTAAATTGTATTAATAATAGATTTGTTTATACATTTATGTAAATTGTTTAATTTTTACCTAACCGCTTGTTCTACCCACACCACCGTGCGATAGTGGTGGTTCTTGTATTTCGTGGATGTTTTCGTATTTCAAGGGGGGTGACTGGCAAAATGTTGCTGCAACACCAAATGTTGCTATCGTAGAATATATATATATATGTATATATAAATATATATGTTTGCAAACACAAATTAATACAAAAGTAAATAAAAATAAATGAATAATTATATGAAAAATATAAAAAAAAATAAATTAATTAAATTAATTAATTAAAAATAAAAATTACAAATTTATAAATAATATTTATATCAAAATAATAGACTTGATATTAATTTGGTATATTACTAGTGGCTAGTGCTACAATTATAGGTGTAAACTTGCTGCGCTAGGATAATATAATAAATAAATAAATTAAATTACTTTGCTAATAATATTATATTTTCAGAAAACTCAATAATACGTAACAGAAATTTATTAAAAACTTTAAAAGTTATAGAGCGAATCATTTTGCTTTTAAGTTTTGAATTAACATGGTTTAAAGTTTTTTAACGGAAGACAAACTTTTTTTTTAACCATAAATAAATTTTATTTAGATAATTTCGAGCAAAAGTTGTGCTCAATTACTTCCATTAAATACTTAAAATACATTATTATTCCTTCAAATTGTGCCCATATAATATTTGTTTCAATATAATTTTCTCAATAAAAATGCATTGGTATCCACAACAAGTCATTTAAAACAGTTTGGCTTATGTCAAATTGTCAAGTCCTGCCAGCTTCGGATGCAATTACAGAGATTAACGCAAGTTTCTGGAGTCGAGAGTTGTTAACTCAATAGATTCAATTACGAACACATTACTTGGCACAATGAATCCACTTAAGCCCGACACAACACAAGAAGTATGCCAGAAATTCTCAGGTTTATGGCTTGGGAATCTCTTCGATTAGATTTCCATTTATCAAATTATGCAAAATATTTAATGCAATTTAGTTGGCAAGGTCCGGTCGGAGGAGCTGGCAACATATGGCGCGAGCAGGAGCCAGGAACCAAGAACCGAACACGCTTTTGGCCCGCAAGGACAACAGTTGGCGGTAATGGGTGGTGTGTGTGTGTGTGAGAGGGTGTGTGGGCCGGAATTTATAGGTTAGTCTATAGACCATGGGAAGGTGTTGGCCAAGACAACGGCATTTGGCCAGCATCTCGCTTTTGGCCCAAATCCGTCCAAGGGAAGCGGCCTGCTTGCATGTAATTGACATTGGCCCCTTGCGTTTGATTAATTGCATTTGGTTGAGGGCCCTTCCAAGCCATTGGCTCGGAATGCTCCGAATTTCGCCCATTGATCTGTGGCCCCCTTCTCGTATCCGCATATCCGTGAGTCCGTGTATCTATGTACGTGTATCTGCATCCGCATCCGTAATCTGTTACGGTTTCAATTTGTATCTGTGTGCTTTTTGCGGGGCAATAAATTCGACATGTTCGACATGCTTTCCAATTACTCGGCGCTGGCATTAAACAAATGCAATTCACTTGACACACGTCGAAAGCCGGCAGTCCTTTTCGGAGATCGGAGTTCGGAGTTCGCTGCCAGGAGCCAGGAATTGTGGAGCGCGCAAGAGCTCAGGTCGGGTTAAAGGAACCCATCCTGCAGGCTCCAACGAACCAAGAAACTAACCAAGCGGAGGAGCCTGCACTGCAAGAAACTTTTAGTTTTAAGGAGATTTATAATAACTACGATATTTCTAAGTAACATAACTATTTTACTAACTACATAATAAGCAGTAAAATTTATTGTTTAATAGTATTTGGTTATGTTTCTGTTATTTTAAAGTGTTTCATTTGAATCCAAACTAATTCGAGTGCCTTTGCTCATAGAGTATATAATAGTTATGACTAAAATTTACAGGTAATGTATAAATAATATTATTTATATGCATTTTCCTAACTGCAGCATGGAGACACTTGTCCCTGCGTTTAGTTTATGCAAGTGCCGCCTGCTAGCGATATAAAAAACTCCGGAAAAAGCCAAGCGGAAGGGGTGAGAGGGTGCGATTCTACCACTTCAATGAACCTCAATGGCCGCCGGGCGGCAGAGGATGGTGCAGGGGTGGTGCGAGGCTGGTGGCGTTACCCAAGAAACATAACTCAACAATGCAAAGGACGAGAGCGAGCAAAAAGCGCAAGCCAAGGAGGAGCCACAGGCTGCATCTTCAGAGGAGCAATTTGAGCGTTCCTACGCTCGACAAACGCTGCCCATGCATAGTTTATGATCCTCCAGCTTCTGCTCCTTCTGCTGCTCCTGCTCCGGCTGCTCCTCAAACTCATATCTATGCATTTTGCTGAATTAAACCAACTGCACAGAATGTCGCAGATAATTCAATGCACCTACACAGTGCCCCGTTTTATGGCCCTCATCCTCATCCTCATCCTCGTCCTCGCCGTCCTGCGTCCTCCAGCCTCCGTCGAAAAGTGCCACGAGGGTAATTTAAAAATCCATTTGTGTTTTGAGATTTCGCTGGCAGAGCCACGGAGATTCCAGTTGGCCAACAATTGTGGTGAGCGGAGAGGAACAGAAAAAAGAACACAAAATGCGAAGCGACTAAAAAAATGAAGCTACGCGAGGTGGGAAAGCTGGGAAATTGGCGAGGGCGGAAAATGGAAAATGCGAACGTCGAACGGCTGACTAGATGACTGCCCGAGACTTGACTGCGTGACACAATTTCAATTTGCATTGACAGCATGAATTATAGCAAATAATCCCCGGAGGCAAATGCGATTTTAGTGAGGCCAACAGCCAGGCGCTCCCAGTCTCAGTCCCAGACTCCCCCGACCCGGGTCAAGCGGTTCCGGGAGTGACCCAGCGGATCCGGCCCAGAGTCCAGCTGTTATTGATATGGAAATGATGCGCAGCAAACCGAAAATAGAACTGCCAGCGGAAAGTTGCCCAGGGAAAACAAGCAAAGTTGCAAAAATAAAGCAAAGTAGGCGGCATCGTCGCCAAAATGAAATAAAATAAAACAGCGACAATAAAAGCGAATAAAATTTAAATTTTATGCGGCGGAGGGCAGGAGCAGTTAATTTTTTCCGTTCAACGGAATAGCTAAACGAGCGCGGAGAACCCAAAAAGACACTCCCCGAGGAGGAAGAGTGATAGCAAAGAGAAGGCTAATGAGGAACGAGCTCGGAAAAGCCCAAAATATGAGTTCGGGGCAAGTTAAATACTGAAATTCAAATTGAAATGCCACAACGCAGGAAACTCGATTTAGCTCTCCTCCACACTCAATTCAATACAACGAAAAGATTGCATCAAATTCGAAAAATTCTATTGAAATCTAACCTAATTTGAGCTTCTTGTATGCATAAAACATATTTGGGCAGCAATATCAAAAACAGTTTCGAGTCTCAGCTGCTGCACAAATGTATGCTACGAATTTTCTGCTTAAAACACAAGTATCGCAACGCTTTGGCTATTCACTTAAATTCAAGCTTAAATAAGAATTCTGCTTTGCATTTTATTTTCTTATTTTGAGTAGAGGAGAGTCTGAGAAATTTCTTCGATAAACGTACCAGAAAACTCCTAAATTTACCTCTGAGGAAACTGAAATTAAAACATATTTGTTTAAATATTTGTTAAAAGGTTTAAAATTTCACCTAACTTATTGTAAAATATCCTTAATTTAGTGCCAAATCTTATTCCCCTTTTCCTGTACCAAATACTATTTACTAAAATGTAAGCTTCAATAAAGCTTTTTCTACTTTTGTGTAGGAATTTCCCTGAAAATTTGACCAAATAAAACGCACACATGCATCTGAAACCAAAACTTAATTTGTAAAAATAGTTCAATATTCATTTTCATTTAAAATGCGATGTTAGGTATTATATACATAAGTCAGTCGAACTACTTTCCCATTTTCCAAAAGCAACTACTACTACTTACTTTGGATATTCACTTTAATTATAGATTTTTCTCTAAAAATGATACCTGAAAAAACAAAAATTGCATCAGAAATCAAATTTTATTTATTAAATTATTCAAATATTCAACTAAATAGTTTTAAAATGGCACGTTACTTGTTATATAAAAGTCTTGGTCGAATTGTAGCCCCATTTTCCTGTAGCAACTACTACTTACTAATTATTTTGCAGCTTCCGTGGCTTCCTGAAATAAGAGATATCTTTATAATTACACTTTCCCCATGAAAACACGGCAATGCTAACTACTAACCACCTGAACTAGCAACCCCTGGCTCTCACCCTCTCCACTCTGGTCCCCCGTGGCTCTCTACTTCACACCTGCATTCGGTGAATTAGTGCACTCCACGGCACGCCGTTGCCACCTGGGCAACTCCCGCAGTTCTTATTTGTTTTATTTTTTTTTTTTTTTTTGCGGAACCACTTATAAGTTGATATAAAAAATGCATGCCGAGTGCATTACGCTCCCTCTTGTTTTTCCAAGGGAGTTTCCAAGGGGCTCCTTCCTGCTGGAAAAGACCCAGCTCATTAGCCAGACGCGTCTGCTGCTGGCAACTCCTTCGAACGGCCAGGAAATTCGCGAGTGCGTGCGGGGAGGGCGTGCTCAAGTGGGCGTGGGAAAACTATGTCAAAAACTTTA